AGGTTCTATGACCTGAGGGTCCAGGAGATCAAAATTATTTTCATTATAATTCTAAAACTTTTATCTTTTTCACTATGTCAACTATTGCCCTGATGGTGGATAGAATTACAGGCACCTTAGCACAAGTCAAGACAGAAGCACTGAGGCCAACGAGATAGTTCAGCGGTCTAAAGCACCTACTTAGACAAGCACAGGGACTGTGGTTCAATCCCCTGCACCACATGCCACACCAGCCCCACCCCAAGGGTGGGCTGAGCTGGCCACAAAAGAAAAACAAAAGCATAAAAACAGAAGCATTGACCCAGCTATCCCCCTTTTGGGTATTTTTCCAAAAGAACTGAACATCACACTACAATGACATATGTGCAACCATGTTCATAGCAGTGCAATCTTTTACTCAGCTATAAAGAAAGACAAACTTGAGGCCTTTACCGGTAAATGGATGCAACTAAAGACTACATTTCTAAGTGAAATAAATGAGACCCACATGTATTAATATCATATTATCTCCCTAGTGTAAGAACCTGAAATAATAAAATCTGAAAGGCATAACAGATATAGTAAAACAGAAAGAAACAACATAAACAACGAAAATGAGGGAAAGAAAAAAATAGGAAAAAAAATAACAAAGGGGGAATATTCTTCCAAAAGAACTGAACATAGAACTGAAAAAAATAGGAAAAAAAAATAACAAAGGGGGAATAGTTTTCCAAAAGAACTGTAAGCATATACACAGGATAGCTAACATGATCATACTACTGATTCCATCAGTTCTTTGAAGCACTGAAATATAACAGAAGTCACTGTATTCTTCACTGCCTCATCACAGGAAAAAAGAGGTAGAAAGTATCAACTGAGAATGTCCTCGACAAAATATTAAAAATCATTAACTTTATTAAATTTCAATCCTTGAGTATATATTTTCATATTCTATGTGATGAAATACAAAATGCACACAATTTTTATCATATATTAAAGAATGTGTGTCTTAAAAAGCATTTGTGCAACAGAATTGCAAATGGAACCAGATGCTTTTATTATCAACCACCATTTTGTTTAAGAGAAAGACAAGCTATGATGACTCAGACTGGAATAGTGGGCAAATTTTTTTTTCCTCAAAATGAATGAAGTTAGAGTTTACTTCAAGAAAAACTAATAGTATTTGTTATCAATGATAAAACTCAAGCTCTCAGGCTAGGGCTACATAACTCAACAGTAGAGCACTCACCTAGCATCTAGAACACCCTGGGTCCAGTCTCCAGCATCACAAGAAAAAAAAAAACCAACCTCACAGAGAAAATTTGAATTCTGTATAATTATGTATGTCACCAAAAGATTAACAGCTTCTAAATACTTACACTTACCTTGTTAGATCAGTTGTGATATTAACAAATGTGAATGATACAGAGTAAAGTATGTCAACCTCTGAAAGACATGCTTAACTCAGTGAAGTAATACTTTCCAATTCCCTAATGAAAGGTGTCACAAATCACACACAGGTAAAAGATTCAGTCAGTGCAAGTCAGACCAATACTTCAATATATTTAATTTAGTTATATTATCTTAATATAAAAAGTAACAAAAGTTCATGGATATCATTTCAAATACATAAGAAATCACTACTTGTCAACTTTTGATGTAGTATCTGAAACATTATCTTCTCCTAAAAAAAAAAAATCTGTGTGAAGCCAGGTTTTCTTTATTTAAACTCTTATCAAAATACTTATATCAATAGACTGAATGCAAAAATAGATGATAAATTAGCTGGGCCATAAGCTAGTCATTAAAGTTTTGCAAAGATGGAGAATAATGCCACTGTCTTACTATTTGCTTTTAGGAAATGTAGTTACTTTTCATATCAAATGTTATTTGGGTTTATTTTGTTATTTTAAGTGAAATCATAAATACTTCAATTTTTTTTCTATTTGTATTACTAATAAGTGAAATAGTGCTATATTACTCAAATAAATAAAATTTCTTGTGGCCCTTAATAGTTTCTAAGGAATGTGAAGGGATCCTAAGACTAAAATGCTTGAGAACCATGGTTCTAATGTACTACAGTCATCCCCATTCTCCATGCCTGTCCTGCTTCAGTTCCCATGTAAGGCAGAAGAAGTGGGGAAAAAAAAACCAGCAACAGTCACATTATGTTGTTAGTGACAAAATAAAAGAACAAGAGGTCTAGTATAAATTTCTTTGTTCTAATTACAAATAAAATAACTCATGCATTACAGAAGATATGTTAATTAACTTTATCCCAGAAAAATTAATGAAAGATACAAAAATCCTTTCTTAGGGAAACTAAGTAAAAACTAGTTGAAAAAGCACTATCACAAAACTATAAATATTCATGAAGTAACACATTTGCATTTCAGAAAATCACACAGAGGTACAAGGAAGCTCAAATATAAGAGATAGTGGAAAGCTAAAATTATAATTAACTTCATTTGTCCAGAAAAGGAAATAAACACTAACAAGACATCAGAGGGCTTCTCTTGAAACAGCCTCCTCCTAAAGAAAAATACTGAATGACTACTGATAACCCTAAATACAGATTTACTCCTAGATTTTTATGTCATGAACATATAAATGAATCTATTTGTTCATTCAATTAATAGTACATAATTTATATTACTACTCATAAAGTAGGGAAGAACACTTTACAATTTCACTAGTAAGGTAAAATGTAATATGGAAAAATATGTTTTAAAAAGAAATATATTAATAGCTCTTTATAGTAAAAATAACAGTGAATCAATCACAGATTTTTAGTGTTTCTACAAGCTATCAATCTGGAATCTATCCATAAGTGGAAAACATAAGACAGAACCAAAAACACTACAGCTCTTAGTTTTCTGATCCCACTTTAATTCTTCCTGGTAGTAACTTTATGGCCGTAAACTTTACTCAACTACTACTACAGAACTGAAGCCATAGGAAATGATGACTGTAGGACATCAATTTACAAAACTCCTGTAAAGTTCAGGTCACTGACTGATAATGTGAATACAAAATGCGGTTATTCAAGAAAACTCAAAGATATATAAAAAGGGTTTCTTTATCCACTTATAAATATGGATACAAGGAGTTATCTTTTGGAGGAACAAGAATCAACTTAAGAGAACAAAAGGCTCATGACATTTTATGTATTTGTGTACTACTCATTTACCATATCAAACTATAATCCTTGACTCTGGGGACATGGGAAAAGGAAAAAAAAAAAGAGGGGAGGTAAAAGCACAGTCATTTTGGTGGGAAATCCACCTCAAAGAAGTTTTCTAAAAAGTAAAAAGAAATGAGTATATTTCACATATAAAGAAATCCACAAACAAGTACAGAACCTTGCAAAGGTAGTAAAAGAACAGCGGTAAAAATTCAGGCATAACAAAGTAAAACTCAAAGAGAGATGAAGAATTCTGTCAAAGCACCCCTCCTATCACAACCAAAAATCTGTAATTTTTTTTTTTTTTTTTTTTTTTTTGCGGAACCAGGGATAGAACTCAGGCCCTTGTGCTTGCCAGGGAAGTGCTTATTCCACTGAGCCATCTCCCCGGCTCCTGTAATTTGTCTTTTTAAAAAAGTATCATCAATCATAGAAATTTACCTACAATGGTTTGGAAAGGAAAGCTGAGAACTTCTATAAATTTATGGCAACAACCCTATTACAGAAGTTTTCCAATACATAACCCAGCTCTGTAAGGTGAATAATCTAAGACTGGTTGAGTTTATAAGGCCCATTAACAAATACCAACTGCTTGTTTTTTTTGGTTTCTGACATTTTCAGCAACTTTTTTCCTCTTTGGGTACTAGGTATTGAACCCAGGGCCTTCTCACTAAGCTTCATCCTTAACACTTTAATATTTTTTTTTTAAAGAGGATCTCCCTAAGTTGCCCAGTCTGGTCTCCAACTTGTTTTCCTCCTGCCTCAGCCTTCCAGAGTGCTGGAACTATAGACATGAGCCACCTTGCAGGGCTTCAGCCCTCCTACTGCACATAATAAATTTAATACTAACACTTAGCAAGAAACTGCCTTCATTTGCAAAGAAAGCATAATCTTTAAGACTTCAGAGGCTCTCAAACACATCTGCTGAAATCCTCAAACCTGTGAACTCTGTATTTCTCTCACCTGCAGCTTTTACATCTGGACTCAAACTGACAACTTGCCTGCTTTCTTGTTAGTACATTTGAACTTATTTAACCTCCTCCTACCTAGCCAGCTGAAACATAACTCGGTGACTGCTAATTCCAGAATGTTTTTTTTTTTTTAATGCTCTTTTGTTCTGTTTAGGTTTCCAGTGTGTATTTACAAATGCAACATCTGAAGGACTAATTACATCAAGACTAACCTAACATAAGTTATGATTGTAACTTCTCACAGAAGCAAGCAGAGTTCAGGAGAGCCACATGCTCTGCATCACATGGCCAAAATTTAGAAGTCAAGGGACTACATAACGAGTACTGTGAATTTGTGTTTCAAAATAGGGCGGGCTATTTCTCCCTGCACCATCTCTCCTCCAGCAAGCGGGGAAAGGCCGAGAGAACTGGAGGGAGAGACGGCTCTCAGGTCCACTGGAGAGCGGCCGACGATGAAGTGCACTACGATACAGCTTCCCTCTTTCTGCATTTACCTGGGCACAGTGAGGAAGCGCCAGATTAGTAGTAGGAAAGAACTGGGAAACGGAAATGCAGCGACCTGGGACCAGGGGCGCGCAGACCAGGAGGGAAACGGCTCACGCCCCACCACTCGCACACAGGCCAGTCTAGAGGCCCGAGGCCGCTCACCCCCTGATGCCCCCAACACCTACCAGCCTAGCCCCGACCCACAGTCCGCCCGCGCGCGGCGCATGCGCAGTGCCGCTCTCGGGGCGCGCGCCGCCGCCGGCCCACGGCCCGCTCCCAGCCGCAGGCTGCGCCAGGCCTCATACCGCCCCGCGCTGGAACAGGGCCTCGCAACCCCGCAGCCGCGGCGCCGCCCCGCAGGCTCCGGAGGTCTGCATCACCTGGGTCCCGACCTTCGTGCTCGCACCTCCCGCTGATGTGCAAGCGTCGCAGACCTGGAAACCCTTCCGCAGATCAGGGCGCCACTAGCGTCCTCCGAACTCGCTCCAGTTTAAGCTCAGCGCCTTCCTGGTTCCAGCGCCAGGCAGGGTCAGCCGAGCTATCGAGTGTATCGATGCGGGCTGCCAGGCTTGGGAATGCCGAGGAAGTAGATTGTCTAGCCGCCAATTTTTTTTTTTTCCTATTGCTAAATAATTGGATTTTCTTGTTCCTCAAAAAGCAATAAAGGTGGGGATGGAGGGTTTCACTACTCTAGTATTCGCCGTTATCATCACAGATAATCGGTAAACAAGTGCATTATAGAAAGTTATGTTTAAGACACCCACATTTAGAAAAATTGGGTATCTCATGCTGGGGAGGGAGAAACTCGTCCAACAATAATAAATCACAGAAATGTGTCTGTATAGGTCGTATGTGATTAAACTGTAATGATTTATTTGCAAAAAAAACCCCACACACATTGAAAATTGGTGTTTCGTCTGTCCTAAAGGTGGGTGCAAATTAGTTTTTCGGATTAAGATAACTGGTTGATAGAGGAATAAGGGAAATCAGCCCAATGCGGGAAGAGCAAGTTTTTTCTGGAAGAGAAATCAAATATATAGGATTTTCTTTTTTAATTTAAGCTAACAAACTAAACCAATATAGCATTTTTTGTTATTTATACTACAACTACATTACTTATTTTTCCTTGCATGAAAGTGATTTGCTGTATGAAACAATGCTAAGAAGATACACAAAGTGTTAGCTTTAGTTTGGGTCGACTGTGAAAACCAGTTCATTCACAACTGCTAGATAACTAGCTATAGCTGTACACTGACATTTTAATGGTGAAAATCACCTCCACAATATACTCATAAATAGCTGTACCTTAACAAGTCAATTCTGGGGAACCGTTTTCATACTTAAATGCCAAATTACATGTTTATTTTAAATAATTCAAGAGCTGGGAGCCCTTGGACTCTGAATTTTATTGGAACCTGTATATCTGTCCACAGACTGTCAGCTGAATCTTGCCCTCAGTGATTTTGTTCCAAAACTGCTTTTTGAAATGTTCTCTCTAAAAAACATTTGCTGTTAAGTAAAGCAACAGTAGAACATCATTGCATTTATTAGAATAAGGTTTTAAAAGCTCAATTTAAAAATAAAAATTGCCTTCAGCCAGCTAAAAACCTGTCATCAGACACTGCAGATTTCTTATACCTTGATTTGATAGCAATAGTACCATTCTTAAATTGAAAATGAGCCAATAAATTGAAATCATAGGAAAATCTATTGATCTGAATTATGCAATAGTTGTGCCAGAGCCTTCTCTAATTACTCTAAAGATGATCAAACTCAGTAGATGAAATATAAGTTTAGGCTTAAAAGATGTGTATCCAAAAGAACAAAGAAGTAGCTGGAGTGTCTCCTGATACTACTATCAGACTTTTATATGTTATAGTTATTTGTGAATTTGTATTTAACACCTCAGTTTGTGAGCTCGTGGAATGCAAGTGTACGACTGATCATTCTGCTAAGTAAACTCAACAATGTAGTTTCATAAAGACTAAAGTTTTGTGATTAATCCCCTTTGGTAATATCAGCATTAAAATGGTTACAGATAGCACATCAAGACCCAATATGAAATTATGTTTTTAAATTCATGTAACTTTGGAAATTTAGATATTTGAGTCTCTTGTAGAATAATAAAACCAAGTACTCATATAATTAATTCCTAAAAACTATTGTTATTGAAAGATCTTATTTGTCCTAAAAATATCAAAAGAGGAGAAACAAATTAAGAAGTTGACTTCAAAGAAAAAGCAACATTCCGAAAAACAAAAAAACATTTAATCTTCCAAAAATTCACCAAATAGGAGCATTTTAATCAGAGGAGCATTGTAGTGTGACAAAGTTATACATAATCTCAACCCATATTTGAAAAGTCATTGTGTTTCCTTTTACAGATGCTAGCGGTTGTTTTGATAGAACTTCTCAGAGTATCTGCCTTGTTTTGATCCTTTAATTGTAAAAGATATACATATTAATGTTTTGTAATTGTTTTTATTTTACTTTTGGGTCCAAGATAAGGAACAAAGTTCTTCAACATCAGAAAGATTACATTCACATTCGGTGTGTTGTACTTTAAAGTCTCCAAAGCCTCACTTAAAATTTTGTTTGCACACTTAAGTAAAAGTAACTTTGCATATGTATTTTTATATTTGCAGGTACTTACATAGTCACACTGCTCACAGCAAGCCCTGCCCTTCACAATGTAGGCAAATGAGTTGGCAATATAGATGTTCCTCCCATCTAACAAACCACTTTCATTAAAATAGCACAGAAATACTATTTTTGCAACTTTAAATCGTATCCTAGCGGGAGGAGAGCTTTTTCTTCTCCAGCATCTTTTTGGACAGTACAAGATAAAAATAACTTGACGGGGCACAAATTTAACGTCGTAGTTTGCTTTTTCAAGTTCGAAAAAGGATAAGCTTTTGTTTTTCAAAATTAGAAATCCAACTGGACTGTTTCCCGGCAAGTTAAAGAAATGCTCCGGATGCATCTTGGGACTGGTCTGGGTGTGAAGAGTAGAAAGGGATATGGGTGAGCATCAAGAGACTTCAGAGAGAAAACGAAGTCGAGCTGTCCTTGACCGGGCACTAGGGAAACACTTTAAAATGGGATCTGTCAGGGAACAGCTGCTTAGAAAACGTGTTAAATCGACCGGCCTCTTCGAGTGGAATGTGTCCACCCAGGAGTGGGCTTTGACTTCAAGACCTGAGCAGTGGAGTGAATGGCACGGACCTAAGCGTAGAGCTGGAAGACCCGGGCTCAAACTGAATGCGGGGCAGGATTCTCCTGCAGGAGGACAGGTCGGAGGCCGGGGGAGTTCTGACTCTGGGCAGACTTAGGACGCGGCGTGACGTGGACTGGTGGAGCTGCGGGGGTCAAAGAGGGTTAGGGACGCAGGGCTGGAACCCGGGGGCGGGAGGCTGGAGGAACACGCAGGGCCTATTAATTGTTCGGTGCCTGAGGCAGGGCAAAGGCCGGGGCTCGGCACTGCGCGGCCGGGCAGCGGAGCAGCACCGGGACACCCCGAGAGGCTGCGGGTCGGAGACCAGACGCCGCCGACTCCGGAGCCGCGCACTTGTCAGTTTCCTGTTGGCCCCGCCCCCGCTGAGTCCACCCTGCTCCCCAGCGTTTAACTAAGTCGTGACACCAACGCACAATCCACGGCTAATTAAATTAATTAGGGATTCTTGTCAATCCTGGATTAATGACCGAGACCACTGGCGGCCCAGCTCTCCGCAGCCCCAGCCCCGGGACTCGCCGCCTCTCCGCCCCGCCGCGGCCCCCAGTGCCTCCTGCTCCGCGCCCCGACTCCGTCCGGGGCGCTCTGCTTCCCACCTCTCCGTCTCCTCCTCGCGCTTCCTCACCTCTTTCCCTCCCTCTCCCCCACCCCACCCCCAGGTAGTGGCGTGGCTGCTCCCCGGGAAGGGGCTCACTCCGAGTTGCCAGGGGAGGTAATTTACTCAGAACCAGGGGCCGCCTTTCGGAAGTATAAATAGTGCGACTTCAAGCGCAGCGTCGCTATCAGATCTGAACTCTCCGCAGGAAGAATTGTCAAAGATCTTAACAGGGAACAAGCGCGCTCGGGCGGGAAGCCTCGGCTCCCTTTGCTCCGCGCCCGCGCCCCCGCCCCTCCTCTCCTCCTCCTCCCCTGCCTGGTCCTCCTCCTCCTCCTCCTCTTCTTACTTCTTTCCTCCTTCTACTTCTCCTCCTTTCTTCTTTCTTCTTTCCTCTCTTCTTCTTCTTCTCCTTCTTCTTCCTCCTCCTTCTCCTCCTCCCCCTCCTCCTCCACCCCCTGCCCCATTGATGTGTTATTATTGGGGGGGCTGGAGCAGTAAAAAAAGAAGAAGGAAAAAAAGAGCGGGGCTCAGCAGGGAGAGGTTGAGCGCGGCGCTGACCGGAGGCGGTGGCGATGGAAGAACTTACGGCGTTCGTCTCCAAGTCTTTTGACCAGAAAGTGAAGGAGAAGAAGGAGGCCATCACGTACCGGGAGGTGCTGGAGAGCGGGCCGCTGCGTGGAGCCAAGGAGCCGGGCGGCTGCGCGGAGCCGGGCCGAGACGACCGCAGCAGCCCCGCAGTCCGGGCGGCCGGCGGAGGCGGCGGCGGAGGAGGCGGAGGCGGAGGAGGCGGAGGCGGCGGAGGAGGTGCAGGAGGAGGAGGAGCGGGCGCAGGAGCTGGAGGAGGGCGCTCTCCCGTCCGGGAGCTGGACATGGGCGCCGCGGAGAGGAGCAGAGAGCCCGGCAGCCCGCGGCTAACGGAGGGTAATGGTCCGACCCCCGGCCTTGCCGCGGTTCCCCTTCCCGCCTTCTCCTCTCCTCTGGGCGGGAGCGGACCCCGAGGCCCAGTAGCGAGGGGTCCATACGCAGAGAGGGGCCTGGATCTCAGCTCCGCAAAGTAGAAGGATAGTGTTGGGGTGGGAGTCCAGGAGTGTGCAAGGTCGTGGGTGGGGTCCTAGTGTGGGGGAAGGCGTGGGAGATTTGTGCGCATCCTTTCCGGGTGCTCCCATGTCACCGAAATGCGGTTTTCATCGGCTGGATCTTGGGCCCTCGCTGGGACGGCTGCGGGCGGACGTGGAAGTTCGCAGGGTCTGGCTTCAGGCTTAGTGCTGGGCTGGGACTGGAGCTGCGGGTGGGGGAGTGCAGATTAAAGCTAATATCTAGCAGGAGTTTGAGTTTGCGGGAACCACTTTCCTGGCTTCAGGAAGATTGGAAGGGAAAAAGGGAAGGAAGGAGAGACAAAACCGACTGAGAATCACTTCACACTAGGTCGCCCCGGGGTTTAGAGCTACCCCTGAGACACTTCAATCTCCACAAAAGATTGTGAATCTCCGGATCTTACAGACCCAAACTTCCCACTCTTTTTGAAGTAAGAAGGCTGTGCGAAGGCCGGGCAAGCTAAGGGCCAGGCTTCGTTGCGTTTTCCCGGCTGAGGCGTTTAGCTTTCTATTCCCGAGGTGAGGGGTGGATGGTATTTTCTGAAATTTACACAATTTCTTTATTGCTTTTAATCATATATTCTG